GAGTTTCATGGCTGCCATTCAAATTACTTTATTTTTTCAGTGGAAAGAGGTGGGGGGGGTAGATCATGTCATCTCTCCAAAAGTGGCACTGCCTGCAGTACTGTATGCACATAAGATTAGAGTTGTCGCTGGCATGGGATGAACTTTAATGCGTGAAGCATATATATTTAAAATCCAAGTTTCGCTTTGATTAGTGAACGTATTTATCTTTGGCATTAAAAATCGAAAAAGGTTAATTCAAAATCTAGATGCCGTAGATTACAAAGGTGTTGCCTTTACATTCAAATGAAGGCGAGTGGTGGGCTGTTTACAGTACGACCTGTAAAAGTATGTATCAATGAGTATACCTACTTCTTGTTTCTTGCCAGTGAATTGGCCTTTCAGCTTCAGCCATATGTGAGACTGGTTCAAGATCAGGTGATTGGTCCGAGAGCTCCAGCGAACCAGGAAGGGCTTAAGCACAGACATCTTTTCTTGACCATATTTCACTTTCATGTGCCTGCAGAAAAATACTCTCATTGAAAGAAATGAGAAGACCAATAACAGTCGTAGCCATACAACATCTCAGCGAGTGTAATTACATGGCATTAGATGTGGCTGCTGATGTTTAACAGAAAAAAACTTGTACTGCATTCAGAACATGGTTTGGCAGACTATAACGGAAATATGATTTTTTATATTCACAAATGAAAACATATATGAACTTCACATATTTGTTATAGGACACTATAGGTTTTGAAATTTCCCACTTAGAATACTGTATGTGCTTTTACCCTCTTCTTTTTTATTACACAGAAGCCTAGTTATTTTATTACTGAGCACACAGCTTCTCTGCTTTCAGAAATGGAAATGACCATTACCATTAGCAGCTTCACCAGTATCTGATTGACTGGGCTGCAGGGTTATAAAATCACTGCTATATTTATGGACCAGAATCAATGGAGAGAATGGATGTAGATTCCCAAAAGTAAAGTTATTTTGCTGCTGAGATCCAGGGTTTGATGATGTCTTCCCTGTGGTTAGACTTCATAGCAATTGTATTGGATAGTAATTGGCCAACAGGTTGCACAGAGAGAAGCTGCCCACTGTTCAGTCATGGAAATCAGGTACATATCACCCTATACCTGCTAAGAGAATAAATTTAGATACATTATGTCAGAATATAGGGCCCTTAATGAGTTGCCATTTACTGTATGTCCCTGCATTCAACGTGATAAAAACTGCTTGAAATAACTGCTGAATACAACTTTCATAATTTCTTTGAAAACTTCAATCAAGTGTCCCCTGAGAGGTTGCCTACTTTCAGTTTGTCATCATTCAAGCTTTTTCAGTCTTGGGTGATAAGTCTGTTTGCCCTTCTTTGGACACTCAGAATGGCAGCATTTTCATGACATGGTGCCCAGAATTCAATTCAGTTTTCCAGATGTGTTCTAAGTAGGGCAATGTACAACTTCACCAGAACCTCTCTGGATTTGTACACTGCACTATTAATTATAAAGCAAACATCGAATAGATTTATTTTTACTTCACTTTGACTAATTGATGAAAGGAATTAATCCCTTATAACGCCTAAAACACAGTTCCCTTTAGACATGATTCAAATCAATTCTACACTTTTTGGAATCGTAACCAACATTTTTGTTTGTGAAATGCAACACTGTTCTGTTTAGAAATGTTTTTTTTATTGTTTCTGTTCATTTGATTCATAACATCTGTTTGGATTTGCATAGCACCTTCAGGAGTGTGTGCAGTTCCGTCTACTGTATCTTTGTAGCAGACGTTCACCCTTTTTACAATGGAATGGGTCGTTTTCACACACACGGTAGATTTAGTTACTCTTGGTTTTTCATGAGTTACCAATTTCTGTCTAGCAGAGAGGTTATTCTTTCTTATGAGTTATTTTTATAGCGGCACAGTAGTTAGTATTGCTGCCTCACAGAGCTGAGGGCTTGGTTTCAATTCCTGGGGAGCCATCTGCGTGGAGTCTGTATGTTCTGCCTGTGTTTGTGTGGCTTTCCTCCAGGTGCTCCAGTTTCCTCCCCCAGTGCAAAGACATGCTGGTAGGTTATGTGGCTTCTGGGAAAACTGGCCCTGCTGTGAATGTACAGTAGGTCTGTATCTGCCCTGCAATGGACTGGCATCCCATCCAGGGTGTATCCTGTCTTGCACTCATCGCCTGTTGGGATAGCTCTCGCTCTCCCTCGAGCCTGAATTGCGTAAAACGGTTAGAAAATGGATGGATTCTTATTTTTACGGAGTGCATTGCTAAACACCTTCCAGGTCTTAATGCACCTTGTCAGCAATCTCTACAGTTTACACAAAGATTTTATTGCCGGCTGCTTCCGGAGGTCACATAAGAAATACCTCTGGAAAACCCAGGTTAATTTCCCCTAGAAATGTAACTGCTGTTTATGTGTACCTCAGGTTTACTGATCCCATGATATTACAATTAACATGGAATCTTCTCCTTTGCATATTAAGTCTGGTAATGAAGTGTCTTGAAGAAGTTTCCCTTTTGAAGGACTTGTGAAAAATAAACTTGTAAGTCTCAGAATAGTGTCTACAGTGACCCACGATATGTCCAAGGAGCCTGTGAAGCAATAGCTTCTGCAATGTTAATGGATCCCAGCAATCCTGGTTCCTTTCATACCGTTGTTAATTATGATGGTCTAGTTCATTTCACCACACGGCACAGCACGTCATGGCTATCAACCTGATTGCCAAAAACATGCCCCTAGTGTTAGACCTTCCCCATTCTCATGTGGAATTGAAAGAACTACTATTTACTAGCTGCTGTGAATGTAGTTTTTTGTAAATGGAGAAATTCTAATTTTAGTGCCATTGTCCAGCCTAAGTCCATTTTGTAAATGCTGTGAGATGGCGCTCCCCATGAAAGGCCATTTTGTGAAATGAGAATTGATTGAAATTGATTGATCATCCATTTACACCTCAAAACCCATTACCCTGTGTAAGACGTAGGTATATATATATACAGCCAACTAACTGGCTCTTTTATGATGCCAGTAATGGGCTTTATTTTGACTCCTTTTCAAAGTTAGAAGATCATTTATTTGGATAATTATCCTCTTGTTAGCATATTAGTTGTATAATTCATAAAGATGCCATCAGCAAGTACTAGGATCTGAGATACCACATAAATATCAGAGAGTAAGGCATTTATTTCTGTTGTCTTAGTTTAATGTACAGTACATGGTGTACTGTATGTCCATGTAGAGGATTTCAAACAATAGTATATGAAAGAGTTTAGGGAGAGGGAAGGGTTCGTGACGTGCTGTAAGGGTAAGAAAATAAACACTACATTTCGGCGTGGAAGGAGAGAGGGAAAGTTGCAAAGAAATAAGGCATAGGAGAACAAAAGTCCGAGCAGACAGGAAGGGGCGCGGAGCAGTGAAGAAATGGGCGTACTGTACAGCAGGTGGGAATGAGCGGCCAGACCCCGGGAGAGCGGAAGCAGAGGTGTGGAGAGCCGAAGTCTGCAAATGAACGTAGAAGATTTAGAAGGGGATGAGTCTCTTGTTGAGAGAAGGGGCGAAGGTGCTGGTCTTGTTCCGATCTCACAAGTGTAAATGGCCGGGCATTTTCCGAATGAGATGGTGTAAACTAAAACATAGCCAAAAAGCATAGTTTTCCATGCACATGGTTTTTGCTTTCCAATGTAAAAATACCATACCCTGTATTTTTAGCATTGCCTAATGGGACGCACAGGATGAAGCAGATCTCAGTTTTGCAGACCATCCCTTGTGTTGTTTGCTGGCGGTAGAGAAAATTGTATCCCTTTGGGTTTTTTTGGTAGTTAAGTTATCCCAGAAAGGGAATATTTCTAGGAATGTGGGGAAGAAGTTTGATCTCATATAACCGCAAAACCTTTTGTCTCATGTTTGTAGTGTCACTTACTGTACATGCTTTGTGCCAAGCTCCATGCGCAATGTGAGATGGGGTTACCACTCTGCTGTACAGGCCAGATTGGAGGAGGGAAGGGTGTAACATTGACTCATGGACACATTCTGGCATCTCAGCCCTTGAACTGTGGAGCTCTTTCAGAGGTGCTGTTGGCCTCACGGTGACGCCTGTCACCAGTTCTCTCCTTGCCCAGCTGTGGAGTTTTGGAGGAACAGCTTGATTACGCTGGGTGTCTGGGTGGCACGATACACCTTCCCCTTCTTAATGATCGACTTCACCGCGTTCAAGGGATTGTTCAAAGCCTTTGAATTTTTGTATACCATTCTCCTGATTTCTGCCTCCTTAACAGCCTAGGAATTTGATTCCTAGGTTGTTTTGAAAGCTCTTTGGAGTTAATGGTTGATTCTTGGCGTGAAATTCACCACCTGACTGAAGGACCTTGCAGAGACAGTAGTATTAGTTTTGAAATCATATAGGGCACCGTTATTGCACACAGTCAGAAGTCATAACTAGCTGTGTTCCTTTTCAAAGAAAAATTGAGCACCTCATCTAATGTAGGTTCTTATTGACAAAGGGGGGCGAATACCGTCACAATCAATATATTTTAGTGTTTGATTTCTCTTTATGGGTTTGTGCTATGTCTTTTCTCCCCCCAAAAATGTTTTTTGTAAGCATTTAAGTTTTGATGAAAAACTATACATATTCATTGATTAATTCAACAAAGGAAAGGAATGAATATTGTATATTCCTTGTATTGCAGTAGATGTATATGATTGCCTGCCTTTTTCTTTTACTCATCTGTCATCTCAGTAGCTGTCCTTCTGCATTTCACTATTTAACCAGTTCAAAGTGCTGGCCATTCCATGGTGACCCTGTGCTTTTTTCAGGCTCGTCCACCTCGGCCGCTGGTGGCGAAGAGGCCCAGGAGCAACGTGGCAGTCGAAGGCCGAAGAAC